CGCCCGCTTGTAATTTGAGATACATTTACAGAGACAGAACTGCAAATCACATGACATACTTTCAACATCAGCGTTTTGACGTGTGTGTGTGTCCATTCAGAAACAATCAATTGGAAAGCCGAATTTGCAACAACTATAACCTACTTCAATTTTTCTGCAAATTCCTAAACAGACAAGCAATACATATATATATATATATAATTATATATAGACATCACCCCACCTAGCAATCCGTTAGCTCCTGCAATTAAAGTAACTTTTTCAAAAACAACCCGTGTGACCGATCCTCAAGCTTGAATACCTTTAAAACTTCTTTCGTCTCGACTTGATAGAATTGCTCGCTTTTGGTTGTTGCCAGTGCTGGGCTCCAACACATTGTTTGCGTTTGTTTTCACCAGAGGCGCCACTCCGGCAGTACACGTATAACACGAATTAATAGCCAGACTTGAGCAAACTGTTTTGTTTGCATCCAGCTTGATATTCTGGCAGTTTTGAAGTTCAGGAATCGATTTGATTTTGTTCGCACAAGTCCTTTCCCATTCGCTCAATTTCGCCCTTGTTTCTATCCAGTTGTTGCACAAGTACTTGGAACACCATTCAATCCGATGAATTCGGCCCAGCGCAATTCAGGATGGAAATGTCTGAGAAGACAGAAACCTGACTATGTTTGTTTTTTGAAAGAGGGTGATGCAGGCTCCCGCAACCTTAAGCACAAGCACCGAACCGTCAATTCAGGGCAGACCTTAAATTATGTAAGTTAACACACACACAAGCACCTTGTCATTAAATTATGGTGTGTATATCTTCCAGTTGCTCGCTGACCACTCAACAAAGCTCCACTCTAGTTTCTCCAGATCCAAGTCAACGTGTTTGTATTGTTGTTCTCGACATGTTTTTTTTACAGAGATTGATTTGCTTCGAGGCCGAGAAAGCTTTCAAGGAGTCCGGAAAGGCCAAGACAGTCGACTTGGACTTGGGATTCAATTAAGTCCTTGGACTTGAAGCTTCCTTTTTCGGGAGCTTCTTTTTTCGGGAGCTTCTTAGAAGAGTTCGATTTGGAACGGGAAGCAGGAAGCGTGCAATTCTTGGATGCTGTGGAGGAATGAGAGGAATGAGTAGGATGTAGTCTCCAAAGCGATACAGGCCCTGCAAAAACCTGCACATATCACGCAGACTGGTCAGCAGGTGCTGAAGATCTCATTTGGCACGGGCCCTTACGGTTTCTTCCAATTTGACAGATGTTGACAGTCTTGCACTGCCCGATGTCAAGTTTTATGTACATATTCAATTGCTTATTTCTTGCTGCATACGGCATACGCATACACCTTCTGTGACGTGGACGTGGTATCTCTGATAATTACCATCCTATGTACCAATGACATCATGATGAGATTTTCTTGAAGAGTGGAAGCCCCACACAGAGCATGCCCACATGCACATCCAGGTGTCTCCAACCCAGGGGAATCCTTTTCCACAATTGATAAGCAGGATGTTTCAAAACCGAAAACCATGTCCATTGCAGACATGGTCACAATGCTGACTGAACATCTTAAAGCCGAAAATGGTCACAATGTAGCCGAGGCCTGGAGAATATGTGCGAGGTACCACCCAACTGCACCACCTTGGATGATGTGCTTGAGGCAAAGGTTGCTTTTTCTGCAGATGTGTGTGTGTGTGTTTTTTGTTTCCTGAGTTGGTTCATTCTTCTTGGTTTGCTTAAGGTGATACCGTACAGTAAGAGTTACTTTTTGCATCGCCGTGCAAAAGTGGAAAATCCCGTTCTGCGGCCTTGTATTTTTCCCATTGGCCTAGAGAAGCAACATAGGGAGGCTTCAGAGACAACTTGCATCACATCGCACAGAGGCGACACAAACAGCTTGTGATCAGCTCGTGGCAGGGCACTCCAGAGAAGACGTAACATGTTGTTTCCCTTTTGCAGATGCAAACCATTCAACAGATGTAAACCATTGAACCCCTTTTCAAACTTTTCCAATGACGTTTGGGCAAAGCCAAGAGGGGCAAGCGGGAAGCACTTTGATGTTGACGGACTGAGGCACTCGCGGAGAAAGGAATTGCTATCGTGAACCCGCACGTGGAGCCGGAACCCCAGGAGAAAGTCCAAACAGAAACACTCAGGACAGAAAGAGGCGGGTGCACGCGAACACTGGAAACCAATCTTCCACAATTGTAGTAATTATAGGACCTGCTTAGCAGCGTCTAGCAAGCACATTGAGTCAGATAGCAATTGCATGCACAAAACTCACTCTCAACGTGGTCTCAGAGAAAGGGCGACTTGAAGCAAGAATCGCCAGCAGGTTGGCTGTGCAACCAGTGGGCTCTGAAATCATCGCACCCTTGGAGCGTCGTTTTGCGCTCCTTGCCTCAAAGAATCATGCTCAGGTATGTTCGGTGTGCAATCGATAGTGCTGGTCTCGGTGTGGACTGTGTCGCAAAGAGGACGAATCAGCTGACGTGCAATAAATCTCTCACCAGACTTTGGGATTATGCTCAAAGGCTATGTTAACTCCCATCACTACCGCTTTTGCAGCAAGGTTTCTATCGTTGTCCGACAGTTTTCCAAGTCAATTCTGTTATTAATACGCATGTTACTTGTACATTTATACAGACATCATATTTAGACTCTTAGACGACAATAACACTATGAGAGATGTTATGGAGTATTCGACAAGCTTCCTTGCAGTTCACGATTTTGCTGGCATGTTCTTTTACTTTCAAGTGTTTGTTTTTTGGTTGTTCCTTAAGGCGCTGGATTGGCAATGCTAAGCAGCTGCTTGGCGAGGACGACGACTTTTGATTCTCATTTCGTTGATCTTCTATATTTTGTATGTAGATGCCGCAGCTTGTGTCAGCCTTAAGCTCGTTAAAATTCAAAGAGAGTCCGGAAAAGGTTCGCTCAGTGGTTCGCTCTTGGACCATTTTTTGACCCAGGTCCCCCTCCGGCGGATCCGGTGCAGCGGCTCCACTGGGCAGAGGCGCTTTTTGAGCCGACGAATGATGCTGTTCGCTCTGACGTCTATCCGAACGCGACGTGGTCACGGGTGCCATCGCTCAGGTGATCATGTCGATGCAGTTGTCGCCGTTGCCCATCTTTGATCAGACCTTGAGGAGAATTGCCAGGCTGGAAAGAACCGAAGGTATCGGATGGTATCGGAAGAGTGAAGGAAAAGGAATGAAAAGGACATAAAAGGACATGAGCAGCATTTCGGGGTGTACACTCGTTGCTTTTCAAACTCTGAGCTTTCTGAACTTCTAAACACTGAATGTGAAAAAATCTGAGGACGGAGCAATTCCCACGCTTTCCTGACCACGAATCATCTGGAAGGGGGGAAACCATGATCGCCACGAATCAGCACGGCCGACAAACCAGGTGCATTGATCAAGATGAGTTGGCAGAGATCGCCAACAAGCCAGAGCCACCTGAGGCCGTATTGGAATCCGACGGGTGGATGCCGTTCGGTCCAAGCGGTGCGTGGAACTGAACGTCGCCAACTGGTTCTGACCGACTTCCGGAATCTTCCGGAATGGATGCGGTTTTCTATCAGAGCTCTTTCAAGAAAAGCAGCCAGCTTTTCACTCTTATTGCTCGAGAATTGTCAGCTCTGAAGGGCCAGTAGGTTCAGTCGGTTAAGTTATGTTAAGTTGCATGAGTGGAAGGAGTACCGGACCGTATATTGGAATATATCACGAATCTTAATGATTCAGGCTTTAAGTTATAATATCAGTACATTTGCAGCTCCTGGCTTCGCTACTAGTAACAAGGGCATCGCTGCTTACTAGGAGCAAGGACGCTACTAGGTGGAGGCCATCACTACTCGTAGCAAGGACGCCGGCCTAAAAGAAGAAAGAACAAGTCATTCATGGAGTCTTTAGCTGTTGCGCTACTAGGGGCTCCTGGCCTTACTACTAGGAGCAAAGATGCTACTAGGGGCTCCTGGCATCGCTACTAGGAGCAAGTCATTCATGGAGTCTTTCGCTGTTGCCACAGCGCCGCGGACCCGTCCAGAACATGCTACATGGCTCCTTGGGCACCGGTGTTGAACGCCTGTTTGAGCAGCTCTCAGAGGGACGTGCGAGTAGTGTTTGCGGAAACGATCTGAAGGAGTTACTCCCTCTCTCTCTCTATATATATGTATATATGTTGAGTTTGCTTATATAATATGTGCATTCGTTTCATGGCTGACAGAACGTACTCAGACAAATTTGCACAGTGTTATGGTTAAAGAATATGCATCACAGCACCAACCAAACTGACCAAGTTAGGGCTGCACCCGCCTTTTCAAAAACCTGGATTCCTTGAAAGGTTGGAATGAACTTTGACATTTGGGTTCAGTGAGAGTCTAGAGCCTTGATCCAGCCTAGGCAGCACTTGCTTGGGTGGTGGATCCTGAATGCAACTGTGACCGACGTTGGTCCCAGTCCCGGCAGCTCTTGCAAGATGGCGAAGGCTTGAGCTGAAAGGATTTCACCAACGGATCTTGTATAGTAGCGATAGCCTCCACCCTAGTAGCGATGGCCTCTCGTTTTTTGTATGCTACATGTCCATTTATTCTGAATGGATGAGTCCTAAGAGAACATCCTTGCTGATCCATGTTGCCTTTCAACCTCGTGGCATCAAGCTTCACGTGGACCTTCCGCAGCTAGGATCAGACCAAGCTTGTCACTGTCATAATTGAGATGACCTGGGCAAGCAGTGAGTATCTATCACGGCTCATGTTGTTATTTTGTTAAATTTAAGGGTTGCATTACATGCAAAAGAGAGAGAGAGAGGTAGATGGAAAGGGGAGTGATATTCAACCATGCAAAGGCGCCCTGTTACTGTACAATTTCCATACAATCACTGCAAACTATATACTATACTAACTCAGCTTCAAGACCAATGTCATCTTAGACCGATGTGTCTCAAAACATTGACTTGACTTCCCGAAATGGTGGACATCTCCATGCAACTTGCTAGGGTTCCGCTGTCGCAATGACTTCCAATGGCCGTCGCTGGAAAGCGCCGTTTTGGTGTGTTGGCAGCGTACCTGGTGGTGCTGGGGCCGGCCTTCTGCCACATCAAGTGGACCCTTGGAAGATCGAAGCTCTACAGCGGGAGATCACTTGGACTGTTTGGAAGGCTTCCATGTGTTCCACCTGAAGGTTTAAGACGACACGGATGGGGGTCAATCAAGCCCAAGCACAAGCAGGAGTGATGGGATGTCAATTAAGATGATTTGACACAACAAATTTGTTCTTCTTGAGGGCATCACCAACAGAGGGTCTTGTGTCTTGTAGCCTTGTCGACCAGTTTGCCAGAGTCCTTCATCTCAGAGCCATACTAGACGAAAGAAAGCAACAGGCCCGCTCAACATATCTGAAGCATTAGCATGCGCCTGTAGTACGCATGTTGAGCAGCTTTCAAGCATAAATGCGCAATAGTGGTGCGGACTGCAACAACAATTTCACATCATTTCACAGCCAGGTTCGTTTCGCAGGATGCATTTGTTTTGCCTCGAAGTGAGGCAGCAAGTTACAACAGCAAGGCGTACTTGTTTGCATGCTTCCTCCGAGACAGCAGAGGCAACCCGATCGATGGCTTGGCCCGGTTTGGCCGGCAGACATTCTTCAAATAGAAATTGTGTTGTTTTTGATGAACAATTCTAATAAAATAAGCTACTAGAAACAAGTGCATCGCTACTAGGAGCAAGGGCCTTACTAGTAGTAACAAGAAACTATTAGAATTAAGTTTAACAGTGAGAAGCCCTGAGTCGCACAGCGTCCGCTCTCGACTCTCACGGGGTCTCAGATTCAATGTTCGATCTGAAGGGCCACGTGTTAATATAAGTTTATCCAAGAGAGTAGATGTAAGTAGCAGTGGTGGATGGAATATGGAATTATTTTGGCGTATGGACACCACGCAGATATGTTCAAACCGTTGTTCAGAATCCAGGTTCAGAGACATTTGATCTCAAATTATGGCCCCTGGCCCCTGGCCTCACATCATGGTCCCGGTCCCTTCGTAGGACACGAGGCCTTCGTGGTTCGTGGCACCGGGACACCGAAGCACTCAAAAACCGTCCCGTGTGAAGCTGGAGTTGCGGGCGTGGCCTCGGCCCGGTCCGGTCGGGGAGGCCCTGGAGATCTTTGGCCTAGAATCAGTGCCAAGCTTTGAGGAGTTGCGGTTCCTGGGCCACATGAAGATCATGCAACGTGATGGAACAAGGGGGTCCGGGCCGGGGTCACCTTCGTTTTTTCATTTTGTTGTTTTTCCCTATATTTTTCAAATGCCTCAGAGAGTTTTGAATTTGGGTTGGATCTTGCAAGGTGAAAGCTTGTGAGTTGTCCTGCTTGTTTGCGTTACATCACGCCCACATGTACACTGGGTTGGCTTGTACGCCAATCAGATTTTGTTCATTGACTTGCTTGTTGGCCCCCATTTATTTGATATACTGTATGTGTGTTTTCTCTTCCTTGCTGCTTTCATGTTCCCGGTATCAAAGACATGCTGATCTGTGTGAACACCCAGGCGATCTTTTCGTAGGTTGGCGGCGAAGACACATCCAGATGTCAGCGGATCTGCGGACTCCTTTCGCAGAGTTGTAGCTGCTTTGATTGGTTTGTAAAGAGCTTGGGCATAAGCAACATTTCTTCATGGTTAGGCCAACAACCCAACACTAGCTTCAGGCAATGAGAGAACAATGCGATGGAAGTTGCAAGTCGACCACGGAAATCCTATTTTTTAAAACTCGTTTAAGGGTTATCTAAAATGGGTCTTAAAACAACATGAATGACACGGATGAACTCTTTGCACAGTCAAATTAGCCAGTCACTGTTTCGACTTTTTAGATTTTGGTGGTGAACCTCAGTAGTCGGTAGCAACGAGGATGAAGTTTGCAAAACGAGGGGGGATGCAGCATGCATTGAATCTGGGTGTCTTTGTCTTCAGGACGCGTATCGACATCTTCAGAGTGTTGATCCTGGTACAGGATCGATTGGATCCGTTCGTGCAGCCACTATTTGTCTATTTCCCCTGGCAATTGCAAAGAATGCAAGGTCTGAGTACAGAGCAGTATGATGCAGTATGGTCCAATGCTTCTCATCATGAGTCTTTACTTGCTGGGTGAGTTGTTCTGCTGTGTATGAAAATGGCCAGGAAAAGATGCGGTTGATGAATTCTTGAAAGATTGGCTGGAAGAAAGTCCTGTGCCTGGGTGGGGCGACTTCGGACAGATTGAGAGGCTTGGCGCACCTGCTCGAGATGCAAGTTTTGCATGAAGGTTTGTTTGGCCTGTTCTACTTGGTCGAAGGAAACAGGGGACCCCCAGCATCCCATCAAATGAGCGGGACTCTCAACAATTGGCAGATACTGATACAACACACATATATGATATATATGTATATACACAGTAGATGATTCAGACGCTTGGTTTCCCAATCTGGCTTCCTGTTCTCATGGCAGCTTTGGTCAAGACAGACCGCGGGTCATTGTTCACTCAGGAGAGACACAGACGATGACGGTTGGGCTGGCAGAGCTCCTGTGTTGAACACTTTTGTGAAGAGGCTTAAGAACAAGAGCACGTCTTGAGATATGTCAACAGTTCCGTCTTTCAGCTGGATTTTCCATGGTTTTCCCGCTTCCATTCCATCCTGATTCGGAGAAACTCTCAGTACGATACCTATTTGCCACTGCGTGGAAGTGAAGCACTGGGTATGTTTTTGCTGTGATGTATAGGCATTCAATATTTCACTACACAGTGCTGCAAGTAGCAGAAATGCAATGGTTCTCCAGAATGTGAAAAGTGAATGAAAGTATGTTGCAATGGGGAGGGCTCCGGAGGACTCCCCTTCTTTTTCGGAAGTATGATGTTCTCTTCTTGCCAGGCATGATGCAGCAACCGAGGGTGGCGTGCAGGAAGGCGATGTGGTGATCTATCGATTGTTGCAGCCAATGGGAAATCGTGGCTGGGGTGTCGGTGATTCGGCCCCGAAAAGGGAGTTGCTTTGGAACAGCTGCAGCTAAAGACTGCAAGAAAACACGTAGCTTTGCGAGAGAGCTCGGAAATTGACCACAAGAGCCCATTTCTGAAGAGTCTTTTTGTTGCAGCAGTTGCAAACGCAAGAGTAATTCTTATGATGGACCTTGTATAAGACCACTTGCTAGATGACTTCTTCTGCTGAGGCATACTGTACTGAAGGTTGTTAGCAATGTCCCTTTGCTTACCAAGGTCGTATTATCGCGGTTCAGGTCAACTACAGCAGGACTTTGGTTTTGCTCTGCCAATGCCAGGATTTTGTAAGAAAGAGCAGTGGTCGTTTTCTCTGCAACGTCTTGGGCAAGCACAAGAATGGTGGACGATGGATTTGCACACTATTGCCCTGAAAGCAGGGGCGAAAGAACCAGGGCTAGGGCATAGCCAAATGATATTGTTGCCGATGTGTTTGCCCTATCACATCCTATCACGATCATGGTTGATGGTTGCAGCAAATGGTTCCCTTTGCAGGGAGCTTTCACACCTCGCAGGAATGGCCCAAATGGTTTGCTCCATGTCCAACCTCTTCGTTTGTCCAGTTCTCCCACTGTGCTAGAGGATGACCTCGATGCGGACGGGGGGCACCGAAACATGCTGATGCAACAGCTGGCCATCTGAAAGATACGGAATGATACATCCGCTCAATTCACCGTTGAACTGGTGAATCGCTACTGGATGCGACACATGCTTGGATTCTGGAACATTCCGACAAAGGTCAAAGGTTGGAAGATTCTGCAAACATGTTTTGGGATGCACATTAGTTCGCCTAGTGACTCTGAGACTTGCCTAACAGATCTTAAGATATCTTAAGATCAAGATGAAGCACCTTTGCAGGAGATCGCCATTACACGTGCCACAGATCGTCTTGAAGTTCTTCCGGACTTACAAGAGCCACTCGTCGAACATCGCGTGGCAACATGTGGCAACATCATGTTGGGGTCGGGTCGACATGTTGTTTCGTTCTGTTTCATTGATATTCGCGACGGATGTTTTCAATACTCGGTGTCAGCATGACGCTGGGAAATACATAATGCATCATAATGTGGTTGCATACCTGTCTAGTGAACAAACTGCCAGGAGCATGTCTGAATATGGTTTCTACTGTCGCCCGTGTTGAGGCTACCAGATGGCACACTGGAGTTCCAAGAGCTCAGCCGTTCACATGTTAGGGCAGCATCTTGGAAGAATTTGGAGTGCGAATTGAATGGTTTGAAGAATGTGGAGAAGCTTTCCTTCTATTCACAACAAGCATAAGATGCTGCTTGGAGTATGGGGACTAGCTACTATGTGTTCAACTAAATTAGGTCATGGTGCCTGTCAGAGTCCAACAGCATTTCATTGTTGCACTTGCCACCCAATCCCCATCCCCATCCCCGCCACTCCTCGAGAAGAACTCCCCAACCTTCGTACACACAGTTTACTATATTGACCCTGTGTTCCGTGTACTTGGCGGACAGCCAGCCAGCCACCTATCAAAGTATCCGGCGGAATCAGCCAGCCAGCTAGCTAAAAAGTATCCGGCGGAATCAGCCAGCCAACCACCTATCAAAGTATCCGGTGGAATCAGCCAGCCAGCCAGCAAAATATCCGGCGGAATCAGCCAGCCAGTCACCAAAAGTACCCGGCGGCTGGCGGAATCAGCCACATAAAGGGGTCCGTATAAATGCTATGTTGCTATATCTCTTACACACCTATATAAGTTCAATGCAAGAATGAGACTTCAAAGCTGTGGATTGCTGTACGTGTGTAAAGGTTATCGAGCGGTTGACGGAAAGGGAACTTGAAGTACTATACCTGGTAACTGAATTGTAGTTACCCTGGGTATCTATACCTGCGCCAGCTGAGTAAGAAGGGGGGTTCGGGGGGGTGGCCTGAGAAAGCACACTCGAAAGCAAAAACGCTGGCTTTCGTTTTGCAGCTTCTCAGGTTGTTTATGTTGTTTGCCTTGCTGGCAGGAAGCCTTCCCAGGGGGACGCGTACATGGCTTCACTTTTTGGCCCGAGGGGTTGATCAAGAAGGCAAGGTTCCAACCAATCAATCAGTCAATCAACCTTTACGCGCGCAAAAACATCGGCTCAGGTGGAAATTGCTAACAACGCTCTGTCCAATGATGCTGCACTCCCACAAGAGCTTCGTTCCCATGGAACAACAAACAACAAACAACAACCAACAACCAACAACCAACAACGACGACAACAACAACAAGAACAACAGCAACAGCAACAGCAACAACAACATCAACAACAACAACAACATGACTTTGCTTTCCCACAGCGGCCTCAGAGAGGCATGTTTGCGATGCGCCAGCATGTCGGAAAGCTGCAGTGCAGTTTGCGTGGACAGCGCGCACCAGAGCTCTTTTGACACGTGGCAAACATCAGACAAAATGAGCTTCTAGGATCTGAAGGGTTTTGCCATCAGTGGCATGGCAATGTGACTAGTTATGTGACTATTATATAGTGGATCAATTTGTATTGTTGAACGAAACCCGAAGCCATCACTAGCCTACACTACTTGTGACGCCTCTTACCATTTGGCGCCAATACTTGTTTGGTCCATGTTTCCTTCATGAGCCAACGGTGTGTGCCAAAAGTAAAGAAAATGTGAACACGACTTTCAGCTATTTTTGAAAGAACGCATTTCGACCAGATGAATCTGATCAGATTCAAACTCGCTTTTCCCGGACCGCCGCCACTCTTTCTGGTTTTAGCGCGGCGTGCGCCAGAACTAGTCACACCGCATTTGGGTAGTGCGGTGAGGTCCTCTGAACCTCTAACTGCGGTACACTGAAACTCCACGGCCCGTGGAGCTGGGACTTGTGTAAAGGACCATTCTCACTCAAAATAGATGGGAACTGTGGCCGGCACCTCGTCTGTACACGCGAAAAGTGACTCAACTGTACACGCGAATGAGATGCCGGAAGCCACCTATGAAAGTATCCAGCGGAATCAGCCAGCCAGCCACCTATCAAAGTCCCGACGGAATCAGCCAGCCACCTATCACAGTATCCGGGAGAATCAAAGTATGCGGCGGAATCAGCCAGCCAGTAACCTATCAAAGTAGCCGGTGGAATCAGCCAGCCAGCCACCAAAGTACCCGGCGGAATCAGCCAGCCAGCCACCAAAGTACCCGGCGGAGTCAGCCAGCTAGCCAACTAAAAAGAAGCCGGCGGAATCAGCCAGCCAGCCACCCACCAAAGTAACCGGCGGCTGGCGGAATCAGCCACCTAAAGTATCCGGCGGCTGGCGGAATCAGCCACCCAAAGTATCCGGCGGCTGGCGGAATCAGCCGCCTAAAGTATCCGGCGGCTGGCGGAATCTGACTTAGGCCCCGAACTTCAGGGTCTATAGTTTATTAGGGATCTCCTCGGGATCCTGTTGATTTCAATCGTCACATGTACCAATGGTTGATGGCAGGGCTGCGGCTGCGACTGACTTTAAATTCACTATCAGATCACCTATTGTATCAATCAACCACTTGGATGAAAAGGGGGGCCCTGATGGGCCCGGTTTGCAGCTCGGGACGCCTCCGAGATCGGACCATGGTGGACCCGAGAACCGCACCGACATGCTGCCAGCCCGCCATGCACCGGATTTTGAGCGGTGAAACTATATGTCCACCAAACCATCTCATCGATCATTGCCCAGCTGGGACGTGAATATGCTTTCTGAAGATGTCAGGTGCTTTCGGGCATGGTGTTCGTGGACAGCTGCTTAGAAGCGCTGTGATGCCGTGGAACAAAAAGTGTTGGCAGCTGGAGCGGCTGTTGTTTGAAATTGTGTTCTCGCTGCTGCTGCTCCTGCTGCTGCTGTTTTTTTGTGTTCCCTAAATGTACCGGGGGTATAGGGTGATGTTGCTTTACAAGGGGCACCAAGGTGAGTCTTCTGCTTGGGAGTCTTACATGCTTGGGATATCTTGGGATCTTGTCATTGAGGCGGTGTGCATCGAAGTGTTGAGAGTCCTAAGCAGTTTCCACCTTTCGACCAAGCCTGCTTCAACATGTAAACGTTTTGGATTAATTGGAACACTTTCAAGCCAGGCTTTGCAGAAGAGTTTCAGACTCAGAGTTGATTGGACAGCCGTGATTTGCTTTGCTAGTGTTATTGCGGGCCATCCATAGACTTAGACATTGTGTGACAAGTCGCAAAAAACGGACCTCAAAGTACGAATCGGTTTCAGATTGAAGAGCTTTGCCAGACTTGTGCGTTCCAGCTGGAAATGCATGTTGGCCGTCTTGGGGTGGTCACTGCACCGGTGCTCGCAATAATTTGCTTGATAAATCACGATATGTGGACCTTTGTTTGGAGGATCGTATGGACATGACAGTTGACATGAAGAGATCATCTATTCTATTGGATGTTGATTCACAAGGAATCAGTGACGTCTCTCATCAAATCATTTGCTAACCCGTGCGATATCATTAACAGTCATAGCCTAATAGCTTGCCTTTGGATCAGTGAACACGTGTCATAGCTTTGTTCCACGGTAACCATAATAAATCTTTCAGGACACACAACAAACTCTACCCAAATGAAGGTGACATCCTCTAGATGTAGGTGTTTATTAGACTGTGGATACCCTGAAAAAGCCACTAGACTTTGTTGACGTTTCTCCGGTGCTTTGTCCCGAGGACCTCCCGGTTTCGCTCCCAGGTTGGGCTCTTGGAGCTCCATGCAGGCCGACGCCCTCCGCTTGAGCCGAGCGAAGAATCTGCTCATGGAGGCCAAATCGGGGAGATTGAACAAATTGCATCGCTACTAGTCAAGCGCATCGCTACTAGTCACAAGAAGCTACTAGTAGCTTCTTGTTACTACTAGTAATGCCCTTGTTATATACTAGTAGCTTCTTATTACTACTAGTAATGCCCTTGTTACTACTAGCGATGCCCTTGTTACTACTAGCTTCTTGTTACTTTGGTTGGGGGTTTGGTGCTTAGGGGATGTTAGGGATGGTGCCTTTTGGGTGCAACCTCTATCAGGTTTGGACCTGGGTCTCATCTGGATGCAGCGGAAGCCGGACGCCCAGCAGAATCGTTGTCACACTGGATGGGGTTGCCCACCACGTAGTATGCAGCATGCAGGTATGCCTACATTACTGTAAGGATATTATGTGTGTTAAATATTGTTAAAAAGTTATAGCCCATTAGTTTTGTCAAATATTCGGAAAGAAACGAGGCATTATGTTGTACACGTGTGCATATTTGTGTACGACGGATGATTGTTGAATGTTCGCCACAGAGGGAGCTTCTTTTTGCAAGCAACATACATAAGTAAGCACGCACAAGGTTGACCATCCGCAAAAAGCATGCTACTTCGCACAGATGTTCGCATGTGTCTTGCTGTTGCACATGCAAACTCTGTTTTTCATCGTTGCCCCATATCTGGCATGAGATTCAAGCCTGGGGATCACAGCTGTTGCTGCTACTTGTCTTTCGTTTTCATATCATGGACAACCACCAACCTGATAGTTCGCCAAAAAATATGTTGATAGTTCGCCTGCAGGTTTGGCACTTCAGAGCCTATTTTGCTGGCTCATTTTGGCAGTCTCCATTGTGCCGCTGGCACGGGGCTGAAGTGGGGGGAGGTTGAAAGTCAGGAAAGCTTTGTGCGGTGAAAGGATCAAGCCTTGAACTTGAAAGACGTCGATCAGTGGTGCAAGTTGTTAAGATCCGTAGGATCTCCCAAGAAACCTAATTGTACTTGTCACCTTGGCCAACGACCAAGGCTGAACAAGCGAACCGTTTGAAGCCGGTGCACAGGTGTGGGCATAGAAACTCAGTGTTCTTCCGACTTTCAATCATTCTTCTTCAGGACCAGCATTTGGTTTACTGTAGTATGGTTTAGTACCAGCATGCTTGACCATGTAAAGAAACTAGAATCCAATGCAGGGAAACTCGACACTCAGAGTTCATCCTTCCTTCACTATTCCCAATACAGCTGGAACGATCAGAAAGATAAATATTTTAGTATATATGATATGTGATAATATTTGCTTCTTTTCTATGCAAAGTATAGCCGCCACGCCTTTGGCATCGCCGGCAGTACTGTGAAGTCTGGCCTTCAACGTGTTGGACTGGCAGCTCCGCAGAATCGAGCTAGCACTGGAGCTAAGGTGGGATGCCACACTAGATTGACAGCCCATAACACTTGTTCACACGGACATGTTTCGTTTTGCCCAGTAAACCATTTTCGTGGTGTCGGCCTTCTGAATGAAGCATTTGGAACTTTGGCTTGGCTCGACTTTAGACCAATGTGGCTCACCATCGCTTGTGCTGGAGGCTTGGACTTCAGCACTCTTTCTTCTCGACGGCACTGCTGAGGCTCGGTGCCAAGTTTAGCACAATAATTTGAGTTGACTTTCTCCCACACAAAATGGTTGACGAGCAGACTGTCAGCATTCAATGTGTCACAAGTACAGCACATGCAGTGCGATGAATCAGCTCTTGAAGATTGACTAGCTTTTGCTATCAGGCATGGTGGTGGCTAAGAGGCATTCGTAGCTTTGAGCAGGCAAGGAAGATTGAGAGTGTTCTCTGAACAAATATCAAAGCTGTGCCATCATTGGGTTGGACTCACCACAACAGGTGGGTGTTTTGCATGTCAATAGGAGCAAAGAAGCTACTAGGAGCAAAGGGCATCGCTACTAAGCAAGGACGCTACTAGGGGCTCCTGGCCTTACTACTAGGAGCAAGAAGCTACTATAACAAACCCCTTGAAAGGGTTTGGTCAAGACATTGGCTGTGCACAGTGGCTTTCGACTCAGTGACTGTCACCAGACTGCAGGCCCCACGTCCTTGGACTGACAGCGAGGATGGAGGTGTCGGTGCTGGAGCCCTCAGATGTGCGCGGCGGTGCGGCAGTACCTCACTGTGCCTTATTGTTCACAGCTTCGAACCCTTCACGCCGGTGCGTGAGTTGCAGCCTCTCAGGTGGCTCAGTCCACACAGCCAGAAGATGTGTGGCAACAGGCCTGGAACCAACAGTGGTGCCGCATTGCACGGTTGGCCTGAATGCACAAAGCAAAGAAGCAGATGATAGATTCAGAATATTTCAGAATATAAGAATATCATAGATATCATATGTTGGATTGGTGACAACTGTGTGTGAAAGTAATTGCTTGTGGGTATTGTATGCTTTTCGAGTTGGCTTTATTTAAGCGTTGATGACCCAGGGAGAAGACCCCTTTGATGGAGCTGCCGGCTCAGTGCAGAATGAATGGGTAAGTAGATGCCCGTGGGCACTTTAGTTTATAGCTGCTTATAAAATTGCTTGACGTGACTTGACGTGTGCTCAGACTTGTTTGGGCGGAACCCATCATATTTGGTCAAGATTTTAAGATCCAGTGAAGCAGTGGATTTGTGTGGAGCAAAGGCACTTGTTCTTTAAAAGGGGGAAGGTGTTGCCAACCGCAACCAGCACAACCTTAATTCCTCTACTATCTGCGTTGATACTGTACTGCTAGCGCACCACGACCTGGCTGAGAATGACCTGACTGCCGCAGCTCTGGAGTTTGACCGGGAGTTGGACAAGGTGCATTGGATCGAAGGTTGACGCGCGCAGAGTGCGGGGTTTTCCGGGCGACGAGATGCAGGAGATGGATGATGTGCTACGAGATGCCTTGGCCCAAGTCCCGTCCAGATAACATGATACATTCATTCCAACAAGCTACTAGGAACAAATGCATCGTTTCTAGTAACAAGTGCCTTACTAGTAGTAACAAGAAGCTACTAGGAACAAGTGCATCAGGAGAAGAACGTGTTTTGTTGCATGGGTTGTCTCTCAGGACGGATACCAGCTCTAAAGGGGACCGGTGATTGGCTCGGCTTCCGTACTTTAGCAGCACACTGCCAAAATTTGGATGGTATATTCTGGGCAGAATGATCAAGAAAAGATGTCCGAAGGATAGGCCAAAGTAGGTGATTCAATAAAAAGATCCTCCATATATGACACATGCAATTCCCTCAGCCAAGATACAAGAAATGCATTTTAGCTCATACAAGCATTAGCTTGTACGCGGCGATTAGCTCATACAAGCATTGCAGACTAAGATTGCTGGATGTCACAGGCGGTTTGTTTGCTTGAAATGAGCGGAAAGACCTGTCATGGCGGTGTAGACATTGCTTTTGTGTGTATAATTCGTGCTTTTTGAACTGGCAGTGCAAGAAGCACTACCAACCCTTATATAGTCTGGGTTTTCCAAAGTGTTGGTTCTTGGCAAAATGTCAGAACCTCGGTGTAAATGCACCTTGCTGGAGCCATCCCATGAATAAAGTTTGTCGCATTTCCACTGAAGACACCATGTTGTTTCGCTCCGAAACAAGCAACAACGAGTTTGTTGGATCGGTTGCATCTTCGGGCCCAGCAAAGAAGACCTTGCAAGAACAGAAAAGGTGCCTTGCTAAATTACATTGGGGTGAAGATGAAGAACAGAGACTGGACCGGCTTTGAAGTTGCAGATTGGTTTTGACAGGGTCATTTCCATGAGTCCAAAGGTTGGAGTCCAAAGTTTTGGATTTCACTTTAAAAGCTGTAGCATGCTGATTATGCTTCAAGTTCGATGGCTGCGGAAACAGTTACAGTATATATATAAGTGGCCGGGACTGCAAATACGGCGGATGCATTCTTTTTGAGACAGGCGAATCGAACACAGCATGCAACAATCACTGAACCGAACCGGCAAATACTTTCATCAAGAAAGAAACTACCTCTACGGCCGATATGAGCCGGTTCTCAAAAGGCATCAAAAGGCCCAAAAGTTACTTACTGGTTGACTGTCAACTATGGTTGTTTGATTTGTTCGTTCTGAGTTTTGAAACACAATCCGGCAACAAGCACTAGTCACTAGTCACTTCTGTCAGTATCTCACAGATTTTTCGGCTCGCAGCTTCAGTAGCGTGAGCCATTTGTATTGCCTTGGTGCATCGAACGAACACTACCTTGATTCTGATTCTTTAACTAACAATGGGTTGCAAGATTTGATGTTGTGGTCTCATAACAAGACTCTCATCTTCAGTCCCTTAATTTGAAGCCGTACAAAACACGTTTGCACCTGGGAACCAAAAGGAGTCAAAGTCATTAGAAACCATATTCCAACAAGCAAGCTTTTCCCAGCCACTTTGCAGTCATTCGCAACAATCAATGAATTGACAACACGTGCACGACTTCCGTCGAATCGGTTAGCCCGACGCTTTCTGTGGCTCGTTTGCTCAACAAGAGAAGCTCGTTGGGGCAGGGCTTGTTGAGTTTTCTGCTACTAGGAACAAGGACGCTACTAGGGGCTCCTGGCCTTCATGTTCAGGGCCCCCAGGAGTCAAAAGTAGATGACCACATACAGTAGGTCCCACATGGGGTGTGTTACGGTACGGTCCTCTATGTGTTCATTTCATTCTGCCATTGGATTTGCAGAGTTTCCAAAAGGGTCCGAGGGTGTTGGACCGAGGCTGAACTGAGCAGTTGCGCTGCATCAACGACAAAGCGATCGGTACCCAGTGATGGAACGAACGGTATCAGCGGGATGTGGAATCTGAGCAGGAACTTATATATTACTAAAATGTACTAAATGAGTTAGACCACAGCGCCACAATGTATATTACAATGCATCGTAGTGACAATGAGCTACTGAGGCCATGTCCACTTCCAGCATCCAGATGTTGTACAATGCGGAGGAAGAAAGCAGGAAGTAAACTCAGCCAGTGTATATAATATATTCTGATCACCTTCCTGGATTTGAACATAACCCTTGTTTTCCGGTTTCAACTCAGCTATGGCTCCTGTTAGGCTTCGCAACCACAAGTAACAAATTGCACCAGTCAGCCTGGACTCTTGCTTTCTGAGACAAAATAAGCCAATGCTTTGCCGCGGCCCACTTTTCTCCAAGGCAGACCTTGGACACTGACTTGGGCCAGCTCAAAAGGAGTCTGGTTTTCCTAATCACTAAGAAGACGGACAGTTGCACTTGATGGCCAGGCCGCTTTTTGCCCTTCGCTTGTATTGTCAGTTGATTGGAGAGGACAGTGGCAGTGGCCAGTCTGAGCACTTTCTGCCTCGGGTACAATACAGGCATCGTGGCTGGTGCACAGGAGGCCATTATGGAGGCACGATGGCTGGCTGCGCACGCATCCCAACTCCTACGAGTGAGACGACATAGATCATCATAGATCCATGTCAATCACGAGCGTGACTTAATTGTATTGTCGAATGTTTGTCTCATTTCAACTGGCTTCTTTGCAAAAAAACATATGTATGGACTGGAGTATGGGCCACACATCAAGCCTGGTTACTTGTATCAGTCAAAGGAACTGAACAAATCAAGGAAACAAGTGCAGGCGGTGCCCATCTGTCTAAAAGGTAATTCAAAAGAGCTTACAATCCAAAGCTCAACTCTCCAAGGCCAATCCGATAGCGACAAGTGTGGATTTGTCAACCTAAAACAACCTGTGCAGAACCAAATTTGAGTGCAAAACTGTTGAGCATGGTCACCAAGTACATGAGCTGATATCCGTGGCTGCTTCCTTGGACCCTCGCTCGCAGCGCATGGATGGTCTTCCTGCAGAAAGAAAGAAAGAAAGAAAGAAAGAAAGAAAGAACAGCTCAACACGTTGACCGTTGTCCAGCATTGCGTTGGAGGATTTGAAGTTGGAGAATCTGGCTGTGGCAGAGCTGGTCAGTGCGGCGCTGTTGGGCGCGACTGTGGGTGCTTTGTGCGGACAGGCTGGGAGGCCAACATTCGATTTTGAAAAAAAAACAATCAACAACATGTTGGGGTAGACCCTGAAGGAATGGCTGCGATTTGGGATGTTTGTTTACGTGGTGCTGGAAATGTTCCAATGCACTTTAATCCCAAATTGCATCACGTCATCCTACTTGCTCAGAGTCACTCCACCTTTGCTGAGCACCATGAAGAAGGCTTCAGGATGGACAGGGGGCGAAGACTCACCCCAAACTTACTGCATATGGTCGACCCATGTCCGGTGCCCCTTTGGTCCCATGGTGGACATCCGTTTGCCGCGTCCACTTGGAGTGAAAGGAAAGGGTCAACCAGGGTCCACCCAGCTGGCCACCTGTTGGAGGAGCAGGAACCTCCAGAGTAAAGTCAATCAAACTAAGATCTAGTGACATAAGCTATGGATACACTGATTGTGTGAGGATTAGTTGCAAAGAGAAACAATTGCCTTTTTGCCTGACATAATATCAACGTGGTCTTGGGATTTGGTGCTGGGATTTCGCACGCCAGTTTGCCAACAGCTTGGGCCGACGACGTGCATTGTTGACCACTGCGCTATTGTTTCTGGCGGCACCACTCCTGTCAGCAACAGCTCCTAACTATGGATTGTTGCTGTTTGGCAGGAGACCTGGCTGATTGGAGAATCGCTTAGAGTCCTTTCAACATTTGTAGCGATTGCTACCGCAACATTTGATGCTACAATCATGTCTAGTCATCTAGAATCTAGACACTACTCCATCTACTCCCTACCACCTAAAGATCAACACAGTCATTTTTGAATGCAATAAATTCCTGTCCAGTTTTGTTAAGGGGCCCCCAAAGATGGGAACCTGGGAAGAGGATCGCCGAACAATCACGGACAACGTTCCATTAATCCTGTATTAACATCGTACGCCAAAATTGAACAACCCTCCAAATCGAAGCGTCTCCCTATTCCGTTTACACAACCCTTTACATCCCTCTATATATTATATAAACCATTGTTTCTTCAACGATATTCTTGCTTCAACAGAGTGTATAAGCCAAATTCCAAACAAAGAAGATTTCCAAAGGTGCTGTCGCTGTGCCATGCGGTTTGGCGGAAAGTGCGTTCGTGTGGCTCCGTGCCATGGGGGAACGGGACACATGCGTTGAGTTGCTGGTGGCAAGTTGCTGGTGAATGGTACGATCGGTGGCGATTCTAGTGGGTGGGTGGATACTTAATTTAAGAACGCGCAAAGAACATTTGCCTTGGGAGCATATAGTACAGTAAAGGTTGCCATTCAGGGTGCCCGACATGAGTTCGATTTAACCTCTCTTTCGTTGGGTAGTAGTGCCTTTTAATGGGTACTCTGTACTGGGGATTAATGATATTCCATGAGACTCCTACAGTGGATGTTTCACTACTGATTTCGTAGACCGCTTTTTCAACGCTCTTTGCTACCAGCGACGCTGCAACACGGGGCTTCTCATCGCAACTCGTTGACTCAATGCAGTTGCCTTGAGGACTTTGACCGGAATACCCATCGGAGTCTCGTCGGTGCTGACCAACTTGTACATCACCGAGGTGAAGGGAGCGGCGCAAAACAAGTGGAACAAACTGTGCGGATTGCTTCTTAGTAAGCTTTTTTAGAGAAAAAGAAAAGCACTTGAAAATAGTGTGTTGTGCTATTAATAAGGCCCCCTTCAAAGGACTCTATTGTAGTGACGGACTCTTGGAACATCTTGGAACCAACAGTTCTTCCAAAATTCATCAACATCCTAAGCCCTTTAATTAGAACATCGAGTTAGGCCTGAGAACACACAAGGATTTGAACTGTGCCATGTTCTTAGTAAGTGTTGTCTTAGAACATGCTCAGTCGTGTTTCTCAGAACATTTTCACCACTCCCAAACATCACTCATTGCTGAACATGCTTAGAAGAAACACATTTAGGTGGTGGTTGTCCGTCACAATGTAGCATTCTGCATTATGAAATCTGGCTTTGTGTGCACTGCACATACGTTCTTTTCCAGGTCAGTACTGGATAGTGGGGGTATATAGCGCAGCCTGCGCTTGACCAATGATGTCAGCACAAAAATATTTTGTATATATATATATATTGAGCGTTTTCAAAACTGCTTGTGGAGGTACCAATCAAAAATCCTAAGAAATCCAAAAATCATAAAAACTTAAAAATCACAAAATCCTAAAAACATTAAAACAATAAAAGTTCAAAAATCTTAAAAACTTAAAAACACTCAAAATACAAAAAAACTCAAAAATCTTAAAATTGTTTTCTTTTTTTAATACACAAAAAACATAGACAATCTTATGTTTCTTAAAACCAAAACTCTTTTTGCAAAACACATGTGCATATCCTAAACACAATCACATAGAACTGGACCAACATAGCAAAAAGTTTAAGAACAAACTGAAGAAACAACCGAAGGAACGGGCAAACTTCTTCAAGCAAGTCAGTCAATGATGTTGAGCTTGGAAACATGGTAGTCATGGAAACATGGTAGTTGGTTCGTTCATTTGCTGGGACCTGAGATTGTGGACAGATTCGGTCACAAATCCACAGCCCTCTCCCAATCCAATTGCCACCAACCAAGATTGATTGCAAGAAGAATGTTGGATCCAATGCGTGAAATTCTTTGGTTTGCTGGCTGGCCAGTGTGGCTCCAAGGAGAAACGGGTGTTCCTGTTTTGACACGCGCGCTCTTGTGCTGTGTTGGCTCTTTGCAGCTATGGAGGCTGCTCTGGCCATTTTGGCTGAACATGGCCACAGGGTTCATTTGGGTGATGGCGTGCCGATGCCAGACGAACAAGCAGCGCAGCCGGCGACGGCTGAGGCATTTCAAGGCCACAGGCCAGGGGATCAAGGCCACCGGCCAGGGGCGCGCCAAGCCCAGAATGGTGGGCGGGCTCGGTCGGCAGCCAGGCTTGCCAAAAGCAAGCTTCGGAAAAGACAGGAAAAGTCGCTGGATGCACAAGGATCCTACATGAATGACAGTGGCCGGGGACGCACAAAGGACTATGCCTGTCCAAGTTTCCGTGAAGGACTGAGATGAGCTGCTCCTGCCGGGTCGTCTGGCTGGAAGAAATGGACAACAGCCGCTGTGCTGCGGGCAGGGTTTGCTTCCGAAAGCGCAACCCTGCGGCAAATCGCGAAAGAAGTGGAAGGAGCTAGCGCTGCCCACTCGGGCCAAGCGAGATTTGTTGTTGCTAGAGCCATCACGCAAGGGCAAGAAGACGGGGCAGCGCAGTTGCAACTCACTTCCCTGCGGGCACCGTGCGCATTCCTGGTGCGGAACTTGATGTTTGACGAATCATCCTTTGATCTGAAAGCAGATGATGACGAGGCAGCCTGCGTGCATTCTATCCTGTGCAGCCATGGGCAGTGGACCTTCGCTTTCCGAGAGGATTCGCACCTTCCTGCAGACTGCTCCTGGCGACCGGGCCAAGTTTACGACGAGGATATCTGCCGACCCCCGCAGAGCATGGAGGCCCATGAATTGGCAAACAATGTGGAAAGCATTGGCCACAGGCCTGGGAGGCTTGGAGCTGCTCACAGTTGCGAGCAGCTATGTTGCAACGTTGGTAACTTGCGACGCCCCGCGGCAAACCTAAGATTGCTCCGGCACTTAGACCAGCAGCTGCATCAAAATCATTTGCTGCTGCCAACCCTTTGCGCCCAACATAGGGCAGGGAACGTCGTGGAACAATTGACAAAGCTTCTGGCTGCTTTTGCATTTCGAAGGTCTTGAACAAAAGAGGGTGTTTGGCAGCCTTGCGCCGCCAAATCTCTGGCATTTTGGAAAAAGAGGCTTATTGTCTGGGACAGGCTACCAGCCGGGTTGTGGGAGGAGTGGGAGGCTGGCCGGCCCTCCTCTCGCAAGTTGGTGAATCTTTGCACCGCTTTTCTTGATGAAGACGAGGCCGGTGATGCGGCCACTGGCCAGGGTGCAGGCAGAAGGGGGGAGGCCTTGGAGTCGCTTCTGGATTTCTTCAACGGCCCTTGGACAGGACAGAGGGTCGTTTTCCGATCGAGACACGTTTTTTTCGCCGCACGGTCGGACGCGCGCTTCATTGTTAACATCATCAGCTTCAGCTTAAACTTAAATAGAAAATAAGAGCCTAATTACTAATGACTAATAGCATTTTGCTATATGCATTATACAATGATACGAGTGACCATGCGTTACTGCGCCAGCAGTTTATATAATTAACTACTAACTATAATCACGTCAGGTCATGTCCCCTGCTATCTAGCTGCTCTCATCTTTTGATGGCCACAGGCTCAGGCCAGGGGTTTAACAGCTGTGCTTTCTCCGCATGGTCACTAGAGCTTGACACCCCCTCCGCAGCCGTTTGAAAGCCCAAGCGTTCAAAGCGTTCAAGGCCAACTGGGCCCAACCTCTTGGAATGGCGGAAAGCGCAGACAGTAGCGGCGCAGGTGGCCGTGTTACGGGCGGGCCAGTGGCCAGGGGATCGGGGGCCTCGATGGGGCCAGAGGTGGCTCTGTGTGACGCGCGTCGGTCCATCCTGGAGAGCTTTGCGCCTGGACCGATCGAGGTGGCAGTTCTTGACCGGCTCTTGTCCACGCTCGTCACCGACTGCTATATGGCAACCAGCCAGCCTTGGCCATAGCCGCTGATGCGTACAACAGGCGCCACAGCATGCACTTGATGTGGTGCAACCCCGCCACACTGCGGGAGGTGATGCGGAGTTCATGCGGAACAATGGGATCCGCAGCACTCTTGCTGCTGCCTCCTATACCCCTTGCTTGCAAGGGACATTAAGCACCTTGGCGCCTACGATGGCAGTGGCCTGCTTGTGGGCCACTGGCCGTGGGAAACCGTGCTGCAGGTTATGGATAGTGTGGCGGAGGAGCTGGACAAAGGATCGAGAGTGTTGGTTTGTTGCCGCAATGGATCCTCAAGAAGCGCCACTTGGATTGTTGCAATCCTCATGGTCATGACTGGGAATGGTCTGGACGCAGTCCAGGAACATGTGTCAGCGGTGCGAGCCGTTGTTAACCTTTCTACGTACCATGCGCGGAGTTTGAAGAGCCGCTTCAGCCAGGACCCCGACCGTGCCAAGACGCCGCTGCAGTGGCTCCGCGAGACCGACGGAAAGCTCAAGGAGTGGCACGCAGCCAAGTGGCAGGACAAGGGCTTTACGCTGAATTCTTTGTTGCCGCCTGAGTACAGGGCGTTCGCCAAAAGCTTGTGCTATGTGGAGCTGCGTGAGGCGCTAAAGCTTCCATGAGGCTGAGCAGAGAGCCCTCAGGGCCATGAGAGTAGCGCAGGGGACAACAAGGAAGTGCAAGGCGAGAGATCCTGGTAAGAAAGCGCCTGCTGGAAAGAAGAAGCGCGCAACTTCTGAGTCTGCGAAGGCCACAGGCCAGGGCAAACGCCGCAAGGGCCCCGGCGCTCTCCATGAGCAGAAGCCAGCGAAGAGGCTTTCGAGGCCAGTGATGAGGACACAGCTTCGGGCTGCGACACGGATTTCAATTTTGGGGAAGCATCCGTGCCCCGTGACTCTGACTCTGCTGCCTTGAAAGCCCCGCCTGGCAGAACCCACCAACATCGAGCCACGCAGTGGGGTATATTTCAGTTGGCGCCTATTGTTCCCAAAGGAGGCTTGCGCGGATGGGGGGCAATATGCGGTTGCCACAAAGATCATGGTTCAACTCAGACCTCGTGCAAGAAGGCGGTCTCCTTGAACCCTGCTGCCGGGGTGAACGAGGCCGAGGCTGTCCATAGGCTGAAGCGTTGGCTACTGGCCGGGCTGGATGACGACCACTGGGCCAGGCACCGCTTGTGCAGCCACCATGTCGCAATGGGAGGCAAGCATCTGGCAGATTTTGCTACGGGACCTAGCGAGGAGGAGATGGACCAGCGGGTCGCGCATTTGCTGCGCGCTCCATAGCCTCACTAGACTCACTACCAGCATGTCGTTGACTGGTGAAAAGTCCTAAGCCTAGTGCTTGTGCGCTGCTCCAGCCATCAATGATCAATCAGGTCAGTTCGTCAGCGCTTGAAAACTGCTACTTGATAAAAACTGTTACTCGACGCGACAGTAGGGTTGCGAGAACGAATTTCAAATCGGTAAGAATTCCCGGAAGTTGGAAAAAATTCACAGAATATTGGAAAATTTGAAAGATTTTGAGATTTTTGACAAACTTGATTTCTCGACAGTATCTCGACACTAACTATATGTACTACTATTTACTTATATATAAGTGTTATATAGATCTCGACACTATCTCGACAAACAGAGCATTTCCCAAAATTCCGAAATTCTTTTCTATAAATTTACAAAAATCCAAAATTCTTTTTCCATAGCCTACTGATGCCAGCCTTTTTAAGTCTCAACCTCTGGAAGTTCCTTGAAAGTCGGCCCGCCATATCCGAAGCGCCGGACTTCGATTAGTCAGCCTCAACGACAGGTGGGCCTGTGTCCGTGAAGTCTAGCCTGCGGCAGCTGACCGTTGCCTTTCACTTGTCCAAAGTGTCGGTATGCTTGCTTTGCAGTTGTTGCAGCACAGATACGAGCCCCCTTGACAGCGCCAGCCCAGAGGATACTTATGGAGGGAAGAGACCTTGGTGCAAGTACAGGAGGGTCACTGACCCTGCGTCACAGGAGGAGGTGAGGGTGCCTGAGGGTAAGCTCTGCTTGATCTGTTTCAACGTCTTCAGGGCCTTGGGGCTTGCGTACTTGCACCGGAACTACAGTGAGTATTGGAAGAAGGTGAAGGACAAGCAAGTTGACCACGGCCCTTTCATGGCTGGGTGAAGGACCACAACAACGCCCCAGGCAGCTCCAGGATTAGTTCCAAGGATGAATGAGGAAAAGATGAAGCAGGCCGCAGGCCAGGACATGTTGAACCTCCCTTGCATTTTTGAAGACATCACGGACATGGGGGGGCGCGCAGCCCAGTGCTGGCAGCACGACCGAAAGTGCGCAATCAAGTCAGTTGATTTGCTTGTGGTGGGGGCTTCCTGCAAAGACATGAGTCGGGCCAATGTTAATCAAAGGCAGTTTGTTCTTACACAGGCTACCAGCCGGGGAGGGTCTGCTCAAACCTTTCACGGGCTTTTGGCTTATGTATCACAGAGCACCGGCCACTGGTCATCTTGTTTGAAAATGTCGACGCCATGGACGACAAGAGCAGCGGCGCCAGGGGAGACAAGCACAGCCCAGCAACCTTGACATTTTTCTGTCGGAGATGGCTTCTCGTGGGTATGAGGGGCAGCCAGTCACGACAGATGCAAACCAGTTTGGGCTTCCTGCCAGGCGTCGCCGTGTCTATGTAATGCTTGTGAAGGTGACAGGCAACCCCCTCCTGAATCTTGCAGCGAATTCGTTGAGCTCGCAACTGGAGACTTTTAGGCGCCTGCTTTCTCTTTGTGTCCGCTCAGCCCCATCATGCGCCAAGGAAGTTTTGCTGGACGACGAAGACCCTGCCATTAAGGCAGAGCTAGAGGCCAGGCTCCGTGCCAAGGCCACTGGCTAGGGATCTGTGGCCGGCAATTGGGCTGATCTGCACATGCAGTTTGCAGCTAGCATTGGCGTGCGGTGGGGCCAGAAAACACGAAGTGCCCTATTGAAGAACCCCTGGTTTCCATCTTTCACTCCCCCAGAGCAAGATGGGCTGCCGCTGTGCCAAGCCCAGCATCCTGGCGCATTGTTCCGCGATCTGAGCCAGTCGGTCTACAGGATGAACTCTCAAAGCCTGCAAGAGGTTGGTCGCCATTTAGCGCCAACTAATGCCTAAGCAAATGCTGTGGGTGGAGAATGGCGACGCATCAAGGCTGCTCTTGGGTCGAGAGGCTTTGCCTTTGCAGGGTTTCCCCGCCAAGCCGTTCCTCCGGCCGCTGGAGCTTGCAATCCTCGAGCTTCAGCCAAGTGGCTTGACCCTGGTTTTCTTACGGAGAGTCTCATGGCCGACCTGGCAGGGAATGCTATGGCGGTCCCGGTAGTCTTAGCAATGCTGCAGGCCACTATTGCTGCGCTGGAATGGCAACGGCCGGGGTCTTTGTCTGCGGCTTCTGAAACTGTTCCGGCTTCTGAAGAGGATTGGTTGCGAGGGTGGCGGTGATCCTGATACTGATCGACAAGATAGATGGTGTAAACTATTGTATATGTAGGCGAGCGAGCCCTAGTGTCGGACTAGGTGTTACCCGTTCCATATCACTAATCAATCAATCATGAATCATGAAATCAAAATAAGTTATAGACATAGACTATGAGCAGAGCATGTCGTGCATTTTTCATCGCCAGCCCCCCGCACAAGCTGTTGTTCCAGGAGATTGCGCTGGCAATGGCGGCTGTCCAGAAGATGTTTCAGATTGCACGCGGAGCCCGCAACAAAAGAGAGTCAGAACAGCTGCCCATTTTCAAAAGCGGCTTGGTCCCATCGATGAGGGGCCACTGGCCGGGGGAAGGCGCCTGAGCGACGTAATGCGCCCAGACTTGATCTCTGAGCCGATGTTCAAGGAAGAACAATTAAGAAGAAGCAGAAGAAGATGAAGACAGCCAAAAGACGCTTCGCCTGCCTGGGTGACCTTTGGCCGCTGCCCTGTCCGCAACAACAGCGCAGCTGGAGCATGTCTGCGCCCGGAAAAAGTGCATGGGCCCTGTGCACTGTGCACTCCTGAGTTTCTTTTCGCCTTGCTCGCCAGTGGAGGGGCGTGCTTGCTGTCCAATGATTCGTCCCGTCGTCGCGTCGTCGCATCGTGCAAATTGGCGTATTTCACGAGTAACAACTGTTGGGCCCCCTGCATGTGGACATGATTGTTTTCCTGGCGGTAGTTCCGAGTCACGCGGGGCCGCGTCGTACGAACGCTTGCAAGACTTTTCAGGGTCATCTTCTTTGGGCGGGCCATTTAAAGGCAAAGGCATCCTACATCAGCACCGGACCATTGCCTGTGATATTATGTAGGTTCTAGGTTATATCCTAATCAAAGCTGACCTGTACCTATAGCCTAGCCCCTTATAGCCCTATGAGCTTTTCATTGTTGAAATTTCTTGAACTTTTCGGATTTGGATTAGGTAACCAGCAACCACTGTTCCTCCCAACCCTGCCGTGGACGAAGTTTGAGGGTTCTGCCCATGCAGCTGGAAACCCACTCCACAACCACTACTGTTGGCCATGCGCTCAAGCGACATGCTTTGCACTTTTGCCGCGATCCTGAAGTGAGGATGACTCACGGAGGACGATGGAAGAGGACTTGGGGCCACAGGCCAGGGTATCTGCCGGTCGCGAGCAGCGTTTTGCCACTTGCACAGAGCAGCGTTGCGCATGCAGCGTTGTCCCGGCGGAGCAGATTGCGTGGGCGCGCGGCGTGCGGATAGCTTCAGGGATTCGAGTTTTTAGGGCCATGGGCCATGACTCCATGATTATTTAAATGTAGCAATGACTCCTGACGAATTGTGATCAAACCACCATTGAATTCTCAAAAGGCTTGTGAGTAATCACGCTTTGGGCGTGCAAAAAGTGTTCAAAAGTAAGTGTTGTAGGCTTGTGGATGACAAATCACTGTACCCACATACTTTTATAATATGTTTATTGGAAATACATTGTTTTTCAGTTGCCTTTTCTTTTTGTGAAGAATTTTATGTTTTTAGAATCTATATTTCAGAAAATGTTTTTTATATGTCTGTATGGTTTTAAGATTTTTGGAAAAATTGTGTTTCAACTTTTTATGTTTTTAATATTTCTGGAAAAAGATTTTCAACGCCACAAGCCTACAACACTTACTTTTGAACACTTTTTACACGCACCAGGTGTGATTGACCACAAGCCTTTTGAAAACACTCAATATATATTCATATGTTTATAGCTACAATACATTTTATTGATACATTGTATGGGCGTACTGCACAAAGAAGTGCAAGCTGCAGGATGACAGTTTATTGATACATTGTATGGGCGTACTGCACAAAGAAGTGCAAGCTGCAGGATGACAGTCTATTGATACATTGTGTATTATCTCATTGATGACGTTCAACGAAAAGAAACCGTTTTTCATTGTTCAATCTCATGACTTAGAACATCGCATTGTTACGCATTTCCTTGACCTTAAGCTTTGGACATCGCTGACTGGTGCAAGCTTTAGCAAAAAACATCCAAGCAATGTTCTAAGTGGATGTCAATTACTTTGAAACGGCCCAAACACCTTCTTGTTGCTTCCTGGCATTGCACAGAATGATAACAATGCATAGTGAATTTGCAACCACTTCGCGGAACTTTCCTATGTGTCTGTGTGGTGCTCAATTTTGGTGGAAGTCTTGCCCAAGCACAACAGTGATTCGCCAAACCCACTCCAACATCTCCAACCTTACTGCCTATGTTATGTTTCGCATGGATTCGAAATGGCAACGCCTCGGATGCAAAGGAAGGATTTGAGATTCTGATTGAGCCTTGTCACCCTGGAAGGTGAGTCCTGCAGTTTGTAGAGGTCGTTTGGGAGGATGGGCGCCCTTTATTGGCACAAGTGGCATTTTGGTGTCTTACTTAGTGCCACATGGCAGCAATGTGGGCTTGGTTAGGTTGACTATTTTGTTCTTCCGTGTAGTTGTTTGATAGTAGAAGAGGTGCATTGAAAGTGCCAGGATTGAGCGAGTCTACCTTTAGATGTCAACTGCCTTCGATGGGTTTCTTGAGTCTAGGTAATATGCAAACATGTGTTGTTCTCTCCGAGCATACCAAACATCAGCAGAACATCTGACTTTCTGGCAGGACCCCAATTCATTTGGCCTGGAAGCTTTTTTGTGGAAAATTTGTTGTTTTTCCCCACATCACTATGTGGGGTTCTTGTTTTTCGCTCTGCACCCACCGCTCCGGAACCGCCTTCTCCACCTCCTCCGCCTCTGCCGCCGCCGCCTTACACCACTCCACTACACCACTATTTTACACCACTCCACTACACCACTCATCTTACACCACTCATCTTACACCACTCATCTTACTCCACTCATCTTAAACCACCCATCTTACACCACTCAGCTTACACCACTCATCGTACACACTCATCTGACACCACTCACCTCACACCACTCATCTCACACCACTCATCTTACACCACTCATCTCACACCGCTCATCTTACACCACTCATCTTACTCCACTCATCTTACACCACCCATCTTACACCACTCATCTCACACCACTCATCTTACACCACTCATCTTACACCACTCATCTTACACCACTCATCTTGCTCCACTCATCTTACACCACCCATCTTACACCACTCATCTCACACCACTCATCTTACACCACTCATCTTTCAGCACTCACCTCACACCACTCATCTCACACCACTCATCTTACACCACTCATCTCACACCACTAATCTTACACCACTCATCTTCTATACACCACTCATCTTCTATACACCACTCATCTTACACCACCCATCTTCATCTCACACCACTCATCTTACGCTACTCATCTGCCTGACTCATCTCACACCACTCATCAGGCACCACTGCCTTTTGTGTGGCAGGCACAGCACTCTGTGCACCTGGAGTGCGGGTTTCCTGGCAGTCGCAGTGCACAGAGCCTCCCGGAGCAGCTGCGGCGCGCGTGGTCGCCGCTGGGCCGCGGCTGCCGCTTTTGTGGCAGGCGCAGCACTCTGTGCACCTGGAGTGCAGATTTCGTGGCAGGCGCAGTACACAGAGCCTCCCGGACCAGCTGCGGCGCGCGTGGTCGCCGCTGGGCCACTGGCAGGCACAGCACTTGGTGAACCTGGAAGGGAGATTTCGTGGCAGGCACAGCGCTCTGTGCACCTGGAGTGCAGATTTCGTGGTAGGCAGTACACAGAGCCTCCCGGACCAGTAGCGGCGCGCGCCGTTTTGTGTGGCAGGCACAGCAGTTGGTGAACCTGGAAAGGAGATTTCGTGGCAGGCACAACAATCTGTGCACCTGCAGTCCAAAATTTCGCAGGCGCAGTACACAGAGCCAGCTGCGGCGCGTGTGGTCGCCGCTGGGCCGCGGCTGCCTTTTGTGTGGCAGGCGCAGCACTCTATGCACCTGGAGTGCAGATTTGGTGGCAGGCGCAGTCACCGAGCCTCCCGGACATGGTCGCCACTGGCCGCGGCTGCCGTTTGTGGAGATTTCGTGGCAGGCACAGCGCTCTGTGCACCTGGAGTGCATCCTCCCGGACCAGCTGCGGCGCGCGTGGTTGCCGCTGGGCCAGCACTTGGTGAACCTGGAAGGGAGATTTCGTGACAGGCACAGCACTCTGTGAACCCAGAGTGCAGATTTCGAGCGCGCACCACTCCCCACACATCATCACACACTGCGCTCATCACACAGCACTCATCACACACCACTCATCTTACACCACTCATCACACACCACTCGTCACACAATTCTCATCTTACACCACCCATCACACACCACTCATGACACACCACTCATCACACACCACTCATCTTACACCACTCATCACACACCACTCATCACACACCACTCACCTTACACCGGTCATCACACACCGCTCATCTTACACCACTCATCACACACATCTCATCACACACCACTCATCTTACACCAGTCATCACACACCACTCATCTTACACCAGTCATCACACACCACTCATCACACACCACTCATCTTATTCACTTTTATCGGATTTTATCGTCCAGTTTCTGTCCGTCCTCTTTTCATATCAGTCTCTACTTCTCGTTTTTAGCTCTTACAAACTCAACATGTGGGGTTGTCCTGTCCTTTTTTTTGTTTGCCCCTTAATTTGTAAAATTTGTCCTGTATTGGGTCTCATTGGCTGCGCTACGCAACAGAGGTCTGCAGTGTTGCAGACCTTCCCCAATGCGGCTTGGAGATTCCAAATTGGCCTGGGAGCTACACGGCGCCAAACATGGTCGGAGTGCTGTTCGCCTGTTTTTTGTTCGGCAGTCTCTGAAAACATGATTCTGAATAGCTGAATCTGCCAATTCTTCTTGCCCATGAAGCTGGACAGGGTCTTCCTGTGTCGAACAAATGTTTCGCATGTTTTGGTTCTCCTGTTATTGTACATGCATGAGTACAAGTGTTATAGTAAAAGGATGTAAAAGGAGGTGCTGCCATGCACTCGCGACTCACATGACAAAATTTGGCTACATCAAACGTCTCAGAGCCAAGGCTGTTCCAGCACTTGCGCAACTCTTCCTCAGCGGGAACCTCCCGGAGACGCCGCGCTGGCTGCTCTCACAATCCCGAAAGGGAGAGGCGAAAGAAAGTCTTCGTCAACTCTTTCGCAAGGCCTGGTTTGTCAGTTCACGTATCCGATATTGTGCCGACAGTGGCCTTCCAAGATCAATGACATTGAAATTGGTTCCCTCACAAAGTGGCTGTTGCCTTGCTGCATCCAGGTGCACAGCAGGTGCATTGAGGAAGAGATGTCCAGACTTGAGGCGATTGACGTGGATGGGCATGGCTCATGTGTCGTCCTACGTCCTCTTGAGTTGTTCATGTCATTTGCTTCATGCCATGGGGCACCGTCAAGCTGGATGGATGTGGAGGATGTGGTGGGTTGTTCAGTCACCTGAACCTAGCTAGCAGCAGATTTGTTGGACTGTCACACTTCATGGCCGGAACAGTTTGCCATCGTTTGCCCATAGGTTCATTCATTGTCTATTTACAGTATTGCATCTAGGTTGCAGCTCCATTGTAACCTTCGTTTGTCAAGATTCAGATGCAGTTTGCAACAGGTAATAAAGCCTTAGTGAAGCTGGTTAGATCATTTCAGACCCGAGAGTGCAAATTGCACATGGATCTTGTATTGGCATCGGGAATAACCTTATTTGGAATAGTTTTTTTCTTGTTGATTGGCATTGAAGCGCTGGGACGGGGTTGGGCTGTGCTTCGGCCGCTGCGGAGTCAGAAGTGCTTTGGCCCTGCAGGGGGACCTCCGTGCCATCTCGGACGTTCCAAACGTTCCAATGTGGGGGCTCTTTGGTGGTCAGCACAGAGCCACTTGGAGGAAGTGTGGGACGCTGAAAACTGATTGTGCCTTTATAAACGCACTCTCGTGCCAATGGTCGCACATTTGTCAACCTGATCGAGTATTCTCGGCCATTTGGTCACTGCAGTCCCATCAATTGTACCATACCGCTTTGAAGCAATGCAAACAGAAGATTCACCAGAGGCAGCTACTTTTGTCGGTGTTGGCATCAACGTGTTGCAGCAGGCGGGTGTGTTTTATCAAGGCAAATCGGACAATCAGACTGTTTCCTCAATGAGCCACGGCGCACCCATCACCTGCTACAGGTGTCAGGCATCAACGTCTTCATCTATTTTGCCGAACAGCTGCTTGCTCTTTGTTGAAACTAAAATCCTCTAACATTGCTTGCGAGCCGCTTCAGCCGGGCTTCCTGTTCAAGACATCATGGATCATGATGGGTAGTAAACGGCCCCATAATATGGCTTCACTTTCAAAAGGCAGCTAGGAAGCAGCTAGCAGTTACTAAATTAAGGCTTGAAGCTGTTGAATCTGAGGATCTTGGATGACGCCGGTCTTGGCCACTATGCCATGCTTTCTGCAGCCATTGTAAGTGGCATCCAACTGGCGGCCACTGCTGTGACCTCCTTAGCAAAAACCAAAAGGACTGGTGCATGCAATGCAATGTTCTATACTCTATACCAGGATTGGAACCTTCCAAAATTACCTATTTGATTTAGTTTGCTAGACTTCAGGAGAAAGAGAGTGAACGGAACGGGACAGGACGATGTTGCCTCACTGCATTCTTTGAACTTTGACTGTTGGCAGTAGACGCGCTGTAGCGTTTGCTTTTGCTAGGCTTTGATCAGATACATTGACAAACTGGGCCGACGGCCCTTGGCTGCCACTGGCATCGTCGGCATGCTCGTGGGCTTAATGCCGATGCCCCAGAGGTCCTTAAATAATATTATGACTTCAGAACAGACTCCGTTTTCTGCCAGAGGTCTTCTGACGCCAACCATCCGTGCCCGGCCCAGGCTCATTGTGGTGGGTTCCCTCCTGCGAGGGGCGGGTGCCTTGCTCAGTGTCACGGCCTGGAGACTCGGAAGACCTGGCGAGACTGTTGGGGCCCCGGTTCTGGGCCCCTTTGGGTTTCATGTTGTCGGATGATTTTGAATGATTTTTGATGTCTTCAAGGCTCCCGGCTCCAAAAGTGGAGACAGAAATTCTATAAAACAGAGATTTCACGAGATGAAAGAAGAGATCAGTTGTTTTTGAGGCAAGATCAATAGGTTTTGAGGACGAGACTAAGACAGGCATCGGCATCATTTGCGGAAAGAGACGATCGAAAGATATCAAAAGCCATCAAAAGCCCAAACTTTGTCTTTTGGAACACCTGTGGCCTGGGCCCCTTGGGCCTCATTCCACCAAACTTAGGCTTGGTTTGCCTTGAGTAGCATGTTGATCTACCGCGCTGCATTTTCCTTATCTCTTGGGCCGCCGAGGGCCCAGTTGATTGGACCCATCGTGACCCAGATGTTACGCTTTATTCTTATGAATTACAATTACAGCGTTATTACCAAGATCATGCAGGTCAAGTGTAGTTAGTTGTTCAAGGACGTTCTTTACGAAATAAGTATTTTTTAGTTATATGTCAGCAACGGATCAAATGATAATACACTTCATGTCCGTTCTGCAGACTTCCCAAGTCACCGGTTGACAAGCTTCCTTGGGCATGTGCCGCGTGTGCGATTGAAAGCTGGTAGAAACCACTGACAAGAGTCTTTGTGGAAGTGCAAAGTTGCAAATTTGGAAAAAGACAGCGGAATAGTCTTGTGAAAAACACGCAGGTGAAGAATCATTAGGAACGTACCTAGTAGTTGTGTGCATTCTTTTTGCTTACTAAAGCAATTCCTGGTGCCACCGTCAGAATCTGAGGGTGACACTGATTCAGAAGCAACCCATGTTTGTCATTTTAGCAGGCCTTGCAGACTTGGATTTGGAGCTTCGGAATCTTCCCATGGGTTGACAGAGAGTGCCTGATGACCCATGTAAAGTTTTTGGAAGCTAAACATCTTCAACATTATGGACTGGTATAGCAGCATAGCAGTGATTTTTTTTGTAGTGCAACCAGCCATCGTTGATGTCCAAGATGCGCTGTGCAACATTTGTTTTGCGTTGACAAAGAACACTTTTGGACTGGCTGCTGAGCAGATGGGCGGTCTTTTGTGGGGTAATCATTTGGAAGTCTTAGTGAAGTAACTTACTGTAGCAGATGCCATTTTTGGGGTGCTCAGGTTGCCCTACGTCATGACTTCGGAGTTCTTCGCGCAAGAAGCGCGAGCGGCAGGAGATCTTCGGGTCGTCTCCTTCTGCCAGGTTTATGGTTTATGTGATACATGATACACGTCTTGGCATATTCAGCGAACAAAGGAACACACATTAAGAAAAGAAGGCAAGATGCCCGTCTAGAAGGCAAGGGCTCCTCTAGAGGGGCCTGATTTTTTATGTTTCTCTCATGCCGATCAAACGAATCAACGGCGACCATAGAGCGTTCGTCCAACCTCTCAACCAATCTGGTCGAAAGAAATGATCCATGAATTAGGTGTATCTTTGGCCCCCCTGCAAAAGGCCCGGCAAATATGTTCCAGAACAGAATTTGAAAGCCACACTTGGGCAGCAACGAAGGCACTTGTTGGAAACGATTTCATTATTGTTGTTCTTGAATTCAAGAAAGAGAGGTGCAGCCGAAATCTGCTTCAATTAGAGGGGCCTGATTAAAGGGATGCCTTGCCTTCCCTTTTTCATGTTTTTCTTCATGCATTGATTAAAGGGGCCTGTTGATGCCGCTAGGAGTTGGTTTCTGCTGGGCCATGAATTGGCTGTCGAACTTCGGGGTCTCTTTGTGCTTCAAAGTCTTGGTGAAGGCCGGAAGCTGACACTCAAGAGTGGTTAACTAACAAGCAAAGGCGAAGGACAAAAGGTCGATTGCAAAGAACCCACATTAGATCTGAGATAAAGTAGAGCCTTGGGTTGTGATTTGCAAAACCTTCTAAGCAAGCTCTCCTGTGTCGTTCCCGCAAGCTGCCAGGCTCTTCCTGGCCCTTACGGACAGGCAATCATTTTTGGCACCTAGCTCATTTATGGCTTCAAATCTTGCACATGTTTCAGTCAAGCTGCTTTTGACAAATTACACTTGCTTTTTGGAATTCAACACACGAGGACACACTGTGTCTTGACTATAGGCAAACACACATATTTTACATACTGCATCCATACATGGAGTTTTTGGTTACCGCACGTGCTTTCAAGCTTCAATCAAAGTCTGCGTTTGCCCCATGTACGAGACTTATCACTTTACATGACATGTTTAGTCCTGTTTGGTGGCGTTGGGAAGGCAATTGAATAGCTTGTTACTGTACATCAAATATTATTGCGGAGCTAGGCCAAAAAGTCAAGCTGCCAATCACCTGAGGCATGTACATGTTCTTTTGCGTTGTTGCTTTGGCCACACTCCCAGATATCCGAAGATTTGCATGCGGACACTGGCATGTTCAGCTTACTAGATGATACAACTCTTGCAACTACATCCAGGAGGTAGCAGGCTTCACATGCTTGCCGGAACCGGATATTCCTGTGTTATACCTTATGTTTGCAGCGTTTTGCATCCGCACGTCTGGCTGAGGTCTTTGTTCTTTTGCTTTTGCCCGAGACCAACGGGGTTTCCTTGGAGGATGGAACCTGGGGTATCTTGCTGAAGATTGCAGTACAAGGCCTTTCTCTCAAGTATATATATATATATATAAGGAGGTCTTCCATTTCATCTCAGAATCTCTTGGACATATTGAAGGACAATCCTGACGGAACTGCGGGATCCTGTAGAGATTTCCTACTGTGCAAATTGTGAGGTACCTCAGGCTTTCGAATCACTGAAATCCTGTTTCACGCGTGACATCATACATATTCAGAATCATGTGTATGTATTCAATTGATTTCAATTGTATTCATACACAAACATAATCAAAGTGTTATAGAAAAAAAGGGGAACACGATCAGAGTTATTTGACGTTTAAGATCTGTTTGATTCGTCAGGCGCATGCAGAGAGAGCTCGGCTTCGTGAGGCCGGGTCAGCCCAAAGACTGAGCGTGGTGGGTCCCAAGCATCAAGACACTTGGTAGACTTTGAGGATACGTATGTCCAACAATCAATATTTAATGTTTAGTAGTACGCTACCTTTTGGTGGGTGCAAGTGTCATTTTCATTCCCTTTGGAAAAAGCCGAAGCTTTTGTGTCAACGTGTGGATTCTGTGGATTCAGTAGACACGCAAGCTGTGCTACAGGTCTAAATTGAGGAACAGATAACAGATGCGTCTCTTTGCGTGTGAAACTGCTTGAAGACAAAGGAGTGAGCTTTGATGGGGCCATTTGTGTTGATAGAAGAACCAGGGTAACCAGCGTATGTTCCTTGAACACGATTCTGGGCTTTCAACGGTTCGTTGTCAAGTGCGAAATACTTGTAGTCCACTGTGGTTGGAGGATTCAACTTGGTTTTCATTGTGACATACTTCATTTGATGTTCTTGGGCACTTGTTCTTATTTGGAGTGTGTTTCTTCATAAGTCGCAAGGACACAAGTACTGTAGCTTGATTAGCAGCTTATCCACCAATATGGGCTGCCATTGAGTAGCTGCTTACCTCGTCAGCGAACGCAATGTAAATGTTTTGATCATTGTTGATCACAATTTATTCAAGGTTCAAACCAATTATTTCTTTTCTGCGACTTGGTAGAGTATGGTAAAGTGCAACGCTACCGACTGACCTTATAGTCACCAGTCTTGAAGTGGCGGTGGGGTATTCTCAGCTTGCCAGGAGTCCTCCACAGACAATGCTCGCATTTGAAAGGCCAGAGTTTGGGAGCACACTGACCACAACTGTGTTGCAAACTGACAGTCATTGGTACTTCATCCCTAATGCCTTGAATCAGCTGCATATATCTGCAGAATTCTAGATCAAGTACCCGTGCGTTTCACACGTCTCCCAGTGCATTTCTGGCTGTCCCTCGGACAATGTGCGTTGGCAGGTCGTTCACCTTGCTTCGAGCAAAGATTTTAACGAGTTGGACAGTTTCTGATAATGCATAGCTGCTGGAGCTTGCTTGCAAGGATGTCCAATCATCAAGAGACATGGCAACATTATTAAAGGCGATATTTGCCTCACAATTATAGTCATTTTCTGGCCTGATTCGAGCATGTTTCAGCCAGCCTTCGATCCGAAAGTTATGCTTATGAAGGTTTCTGTACGCCTGTATGCGCAATCGCGCATTCTCGGTTGCAAATCAGGAGCGCGCTTCAAAAGGTGGTCCTCGACATTCACTTGATAGTCATCCGGGATCACGTTTGTTGGGACAGCAGAAGGGATCACCAGAGGTGTGTCACTATACATATATAACTAATAATATATATGATATCTTAGTTTCATCTAACATCTAGAATATTACTTTAGAGGTGCGAAGGACTCCCTGGAAGAGTAGAGATCAACTAGAGCCTACAGGTTGGGGTCTTCCTAGTCTGACGCATTCTAGTCTGGGTACACACCCATTTGGAACTCGTAGAATCACATTAACTCACATTGTTTTTTTCAATACCCCCGACCGATAATAAGCAGAGTTCGTTCAAGGACTTTGTTAACGGCTTTTGTCATCTCTGAATGTGAGACAAAAGGTTGTGCTGCATGCCCGTGTGGCGCGAAGCTGCCTTTGTTGCTTCAGCTTTGGGCCAATGTACGCTGGTGTAGGTTTGTTTGCATCAACCTGAGATGCTTTTATTGTGATTCAACTCCACTCTTTCTATATAGGCAATGGTATTAAAATCCTTCTACAATTCTTCCACAATTCAGTACAGATCAAATGAAAGGTGGTGGCTTGACATTAGCTTTGCAGGCTTTGCACCTTAATTCGTGTAGTTTAATTCGGAGCACCTTCACATGTGACTCGAGTATAGGATCTTTAGTTCCAAGTATTCACAGTGAAGTGAAGGTGCTGAGCCAATCACTGCCGAAAGCGATGGGTGCTTGGTTCAGCCGAGTCGACACCTTGGCTCTGTGAAGGATTGCTCAATGAAACCTCGAGGTTGTTTGGGGTGCCCTTTGACTGCCATAGGATGCCAATGAGGCATGAGGCAGGCTTATTCCATTTTACCGTTCTGACTGGCCAATGTGGCCAACAGAACATTGAGAGGCATCATTGCTTTGCCATATCAGTGTATTTCAGCGATACTCATTATTGTAATTGTATATGTATAGTTGTTTATATGTGATATATTAATATTGATACTAATATTAATATTAATAGTAATGTATATATACATAATATTATATATACACAGACACATATGTACACATACACATACATCATATTATATTCCTTTCACATGCAAACGGTCACAGTTGTGGTATAAGCCAGGAGTCAATGTCCGTCGTTCGCCAAGTCGAAGTTGACTGTCTTCGATGTCTTCGACCTGGGAGATGTGATTGGCAGCGGGAACTTCGGCCAGGCTGTAAGCGGGACGGCAGCGGCACGGGTATTCTTTTCTTATAGAATCTTATAGAATGATGGACATAATGACATCTATTCTTAGTTGTTTCCATTTATTCATATTAATGTCTTAATGGCTCTATTTTTAGCTTTCTACAGATCTTTTTAGGGTACATTTTGTGCCGAACTTGTCTTCAACATTCTTCAACCTGCTCTTGTGTCAAATCTTCAATGGTGGAAAGATTACGGCAGGTCTTGCTTTGCACGCGGCGTGATGAGCCGACTCAGGCGTGGTTCGTTCGATGTCGCCTGCGTTGGACACGATGTTGCCTGGGTCATAGGCCTTCGCCGTGAAGGTTGTGGACATGGAGAGTAGCCAAGCTAAAGCGATGCAGGCGTGGAGTCGTGTAGAATCCGATCCCTTTGGGCCCGCTTCATATCACCATCGCTTGTGCACTGGAAATTGTACACCACTCCCCCAACTGAGCGACTTCCATGTTAGTCTTGGGAAAGGTGCTTGCTGTAAGACGCACCGGCACATCCGACTGTCTTGCTAGTGCATAGGGTGCGTGCTAGCTATAAGACGCACCGGCGCAACTGACTGCATTTCTTGAGTGTGGTGCTGAAGGCCCCACTTCCCACTCCCCAGGAAACGTTGAGGGGGGTTAGATGCCCTTACCAGCTACACACAGCAAAGGAGACAGCGAACTGGGTTGCTTTCGCTCTTACTCAGCAAATGGACATCAAACCATCAAGCACAACATATATGTTTCAAAAAAGAAGCATAGCCAGAGCTTTCGCTCCGCCAGTCTTTATTGTGTCTTGACATGACGGTTTTGACGTGCTTGGGTATCCAACTTTCAGCATTGCAGGTTTACCAAGCCGCTCGAGATGAGGACTGTTTTGGGGTGAGTTGTCGCTCCTGTCATGTTTTACTGGCCTTGAACGATTTTTGAGTGGATATGCCATATGCCTTGTGCACGCGAAAACAGTCAAATGTGGACCAGTCATTTGATTGACAACTATGTGCGACTCCTCTTTCCAAGGATCTGTGACTGTTTTGACCAGCATTTTGACTCTTGATGTCATAACGCGCGACTTGTCATGACATTCTGCTGCAGTTGGAGATCATGAAGGGCTTGAATCATCCCCACATTGCAGCTTGGACCATTCGTTGTGGCGACGAGCCGAAGACCCGAAGACTTGCTCGGTGTGATGGTGAGACCCAGGAAGCCGATTGCCATGTGTTGTTTCAGTGAAACACGAAACTGCGGTGAAAACTGAGGTGAAACTCATCCAAGTCTTCCAGGATACTCACCTATTTGGAGCTTGACAGGGCCATGTCCATTGAAGCTTGATGATGGTTGTGTTTTGATTCAGTCTGACTGATGATTCTTTGTGTGTGGAAGAGACATTTGCCGCCTACATTTGCACCGTAACTTGTGACACCACTTTCTCCACACACGTCAAGATATTGAAGCTGTTGCTCAATGTCTCAATGTTCTACAAGGTGAAAACTACCATCAACTTGTGCAGTTTGAGTCGGTTAATCGGCACTCAAGAACGCTCAAGAATGCATGTACACAATGCTGCCTCCAGGCTCAAATTGATATTCAATTTTGACCCATATTGTCAATTTGATTCTCACTTCAAGTTTTTCCGCTGACAAAATTGTATATGTTTTTTAAATAGGGAGTAGGGACACTAGCACTTTATTTGTCAAACAGCATCAAACAGCCAAAGGAACTCTCGTAGAGGGCACAAACAAACTGTTCAAGGGGTTAGGGCAGACTCAGCCACCTTGTTTCGACGTCTCCTTTTTGTCCTTGCCGGGGCCGGGACCCTTGGCTTTTGTCACATTGGCCTCCAGACACATAGACACTGGATTGACACGGACAGTTCTGATAGTTCTGGATGCGTTAGTACAATCAGTCAGACATGCCGTGAGTTGCTGTAATGTCTACCATGTGGCCATTCTTTGTAGAAGTGCTCAAATGCATTTATGTGCTTACTCTGCTGCCACCGTTTGGAACACCCTGGTCTTGTTGATTATTCTGGTTGGTCGGGAGACATAGAAGGGCTAAGGGGTACTGCAGTCCCAGTGCAACAACGTGATTGACTGACATTGCTTGCCGGGCTCAAGGTAGATAGGAAGGAAGAGGGCCCACAGCGATTTACAATAAGTGACTTGAGACACAAGGTATGGAGGCCGCAAATTCAGGCAACCAATGGCAACCAGGGGTCTACTTATGCTTGCCTTCCTCCAACGATTTTGTCGAGGAAATAATGAGAACAAATGTTCAGTCCCACAAATAGTAGAGTCGGGAGTCAAACAAGCTGTGCTTGAGCATTGACGGTGGTGTGATCACGACCACAAGACTGTGATTGCAAGCAGGTCCTGTGTCCAATTTGTCCCAACTAATTTCTTGTCGAAAACGAATTTTCCAAGCACATCCGATAGCGCTGAACAACCTGTGGTTTTCAATCGACGTTGAAGAGCTGGTCCATGGTGGAAATGCGCAGCTGCTCGGAAATCTTGGTCCCTAGCAGCTAGCATTACAGTATCTCACAACCACGGGAAGGCATTCTTTAGGTCTTAGGTCCACCACTTCCCAACGTCATGTTGGACATTCTCCAGCATGGACTTGCCCTATAGAGCAAGCTTTTGGACAGAGTACTAATTATCCTGCTCGCCACCACTAGTCACTAGTCCCGTCTCAATGTTGATTTTTGTTTGCCTCCACTGCCTGTTGAACTGCTGAAGTTACTCCACAAACCAGAATTTAGCAACGAATGCGCACTGACTTTCCAGGAAGCCAACATTTTGTTGTGGCATGCCAAGTCTCCCTGTAGAGTGTGTAGAGCCAGTCGAGCGAGCTAGTGACCGAACTTTGAGATTAAATTGATGTGACTTCGGAGGCGGTTTCTCCAAGGCATACCCGGGCACTGAAACTAAGAATGAGATCTGTTTGCTGTTCAGGCTTTTGTGGACTGGACTAGCAGCTCGCGACCGAGCCAACTGGTCCGAGCCAAGGCTATGACGGCCGTGCACACATGGGAAGTGATTGGTGGGGCGATCTCTGGTGGCTTGCTGGTGCGAAGTGGCAGAGCACTAGGCGCGGGGATGACCTTGTAACTAGGAGCTACTAGGTGGAGGCCATCGCTACTATAGTACCAAGAAGCTACGACTGAAGTGCTTTCAGATGGTTTGGCCGTTGGGCGGATTCGTGCAGGCTCAGAGCGAGAATCACAACGCTTGCGTACAGGCAGGGGCGGAGGTGTCCGTTCTTCAACGCTTGAGTATATTTATACAGTAGAGTGGGCATACTGTTAGACATACCGTACCAGTACCAGGAATGGAAGAGCACGTCGTGGACGAGTGGCACTTGAAAGTAAATAGCAACAAAGCAAAGAAATGTTGCTTTGAAGGTTCATAGGTTGACAGCAGAACTTGGGTTGAGTGCTCTTGAAGACTCTGACCTTTGTTGGATGGGGGTGAGGTGCCTGCGGCAAACTTTCATACTATGCCATACTTGGAGATTCGTGTCTCGCTCCTTTCTTCCCTCCCGCTCCCTCATGTCCTTCCGTTCTTGAAGATCTTTATTCTCAGCTGCCCTCCTCTTCTGATAATACTGCGATGTATTCTGATCTTTCATAATACAATTTACAAGTTATACGGCATATACAGTGAAGGTTGAGATTCAGCATGTTGAAACCACTACGGAAGACAAAAGCCTTTGAAGCGGAATCAGCAGTTACGTGCACGCTCCTCGTAGAAGAGAAAGGTTCACAGTCTGTGTTGAGATGGCAAATGTCCTGGAGGGGCACCTGTGCTGCCTGTTTGCATCTCATTGTCAATCTAGTCTCGGCCAAGCCACACACACACAGAGGGCATCGGTTTAATTTGACCAACTCTGAAAGTATAGGAACGTGTTGACCTTACGCAGTTTGCCCTCCCATGTCAGGTCTTACTCAGTTCGTGCTTCCTACCAGTTTAGACTCTGTAGGCCAGCTACGGCTAGCAAACCGAGTGTTTGTTGATTTCTATCCAGCTTTGACATGTGGGCTTGAAAGGCTCCGTTGTGGAGCAAATCGAACTTGATGGAGAACGTCTCCACTACAAGCTGCTGGCCAAGATGAAATCGGAGAGAAATCTGGTCAGAGAAAATAGAATCATTGCATGACATATGACATGGGTTCCTTGCATTCTCAACAAATCATGAGCAACTGTTCTTTCTGGGCAATAGTTATGAATATGTTATGAATGCATGAGAGCATACGTCCACAGTGCCTAGGTTGCTGGAAGGAGCTGGGCCGTTGACTGGCTGGGTGAGCACCAAACTTGGGGAGACTTGGCCGCCGAAATGAGCCCAGACTGGATTTTTTGCCCGCAAAGCCGCGAAGCGGCAGTCTTGGTGTGCAAGCACAAACTTATTAAACGCAAGCTTAGCAAGTCTTTGTTCTTTTTGGAGGTGGGGTAGGCCGCCAGCATGTAGGGGAGGTAGGTTAGCTAGGGAGTCAGTAGCTTGTGGAAGCAAGGTAGCTAGTAGCTACAAGAACGCTACTACATATGGGCTCAGGATAGCTCACGCTTCGTCAAGGAAGCTCCCCCCGCCGCCCTAAATGGTGGCGGGGGAAGCTTCCTGGAAGAAGCGCTCGCACTAATGATTTGGTTTCAAGATTTTTAGGGAAACTTGACATCAGAATTAGACGCGCCGGCCACGAAGACCGTGCCCTGCCCGGAGGGTATTCGGTGGTAACCGAAGGTTATATACGGGCGCGCCCCCTGCCGCCGACCCTCGTCATCAAAACGGGCGGACCACCGGGTCACTGAAGCCCCTGTAATTTACAGTGTATCGTGTGTGTGAGGTATAAAAAACACTGTGGTTTATTGCGCATATCGAAGTACGACGCGGGGAAAGGGGAGAAGTGCAAAAATGCTGTGTTTTTCAAGGGTGGTGCCGGTAATGCGCGCCGGGCGGACAAGCTTAATCGACATTTTGTGGGTAGAGGCCCTCCAGACAACTTACGTTGCCTAACATATCCTCAACATAGGCCCAAGATAGCCAACATATCCCCAACATAGGCCAACATGGGGCCAACATAGGCCCAACATAGGCCCAACCTAGGCCAACATAGGCCTAACATAGGCCAAACATAGAGGCTCAACATGCCCAACATAGACCACATGGGCCCCACTTGGCCCAACAACCTAGGGCCAAGATGCGCACCAGATAGCTTAACTTTGCTCAATATAGGGCCCCCGTCTCCGACGCAGACCAGTTTCCGGCACCACCAGGGCCCAGTATGCCCCTGATAGCTTAACGTGCGCCCGACCCAGCCCTACACAGACCCAAGTGGGCCGGCGCCCGGCTGTTAGGCGTAAGCCTTTAAATTCAGACATGCCTGGGTTTAAGCTGCGTACAGGATTGTCGGAATTATGCTTCATATCACATGACACACCCCAGAGACAACATATTCCCTGCGAATACCTTTGGATATGATATCACTGATACTGGAAAGTCAAGGATGATTCGGAAACAATGATTGACAAGCTACCACATGATTCGGAAACGACACTGATTTGGAAGCCAAGCCTATATTCTTACTGGGAGTCACATGCACGACTAGTTCTACTAATAATAGTTCTGGTACCGTTGCACAATTCCCGGTCTTTCTTCGGAGCCTTTGTAGAATTTAGTGAACATCTCGAACAAAGATAGTGGTTCCTAAATTGTAGTTTCTCAGGATAGTTGTTGAATCGGTGTCTGAAGATTTCTGAAGCTTGGCTTATTGTTTTAGTTAATCAGTGTTTCTGAATTCTGGTGTCTTAATCGTCACAGTTTCATGAATCGGAATTTGTTGTCACAGGTATGTTTGAGAATGGACTTATTCAGCTTTGCTCCAGGGCCGTGAATTGCTTCAGCGGTGCTCCTCAACCACCTCTGGCACCGAGAAGAGCAAAGAGGACCGTTGCTGAGTCTTGCCTTGATTTCCTCAAGTGCGTGCTAAAGGCGTCTAAAGAGCTTTGTGCTTGATCCACGAGCCAATCTGAGAACAGGGATTGAATCTACTACTCAAGGGGACTGTGCCATCGTGACCATCATGTCGCACATGTTTTGCTATAGCACTTATCGCTTGTTCGTGTTGTAAAGTAACGTTTTATGAGGGTCAAGCAAATAGATGCCTAGTTCGATGTCGGCCAAGCAGGGCATACTCGTTGTCTTTCAGAATTGCGAACAGGACTTCCTGCGAAAGGCTTCCAACCTACAAGTTGCGCACATGGACTGCTGGGTTGGCGTAACTTCA